CGGGCTCATCCTTAACGAGGAGTGCAGCATCTTGCTAATTATGCTGCTGTGGCTAATGAGCCTTTCTGCTGATAGTGGGGAGTGTAATAAAACACTCCTTTTGTTTGGGCTTTTTGCCTTTTTTAATTGGGCTAAATAAAAAAGCCTTACGCTCTTCTTCTCCTGCCATTCACATTCAAGGGTCAAGATGGCATTTGTGTGTCTCTCTGTTATTTTTTCACATGTATATTTGTAGTCATGTGAGTTAGTTTTGCTACCCGCATGTGGTAGTTTTTGGTCTCCAGTTTGAGAGGCTTCCCAATGTTATTGTTGTTGGTTTTTTGGGGGCTTTCTTTTTTTTGATGGCCTTCATCTGCAGTCACTGTTATTGCAGGATCTGTTCTCTTCCTCAGTGTGCAGTTTTTATAACCCCAAATCAGAGAAGTTGGGACAGTGTGTAAAATCTAAATTAAAAAAGAAAATAGTGATTTGCAAATCATCTGTGTCCTACATTACATTGAAAACAATACAGCAGCACATTATTTGATGTGATACCTTATCAATTTTATTCTTTGTTCAAAATAAATTCTCATTTCAATTCTGGTTGGAACAGTTGCATTTCAGGGCTAATAATGAGGTAAAACAATGAAATGATGATTCCATTTGAAACAGGTGATGTTAACAGGTGGTTGCAATCGCGATTTGGTACAAACGTGGCATCTAGGAAAGGCAGAAGCATTTAGGAACAAAGATGGGGGGAGGACCGCCAGTTTGTCAACATATGCATGAGAAAATTATTGAAATATTTAAAAACAATGTTCCTCAAAGAAAGATAGGAAGGGATTTGGATATGTCACCCTCTATGGTGTATAACATAATTAAAAGATTCAAGGAATCTTTTAAAACGGCAAGGGCACAATCCTAAGCTGGATGACCGTGCTCTCTGATCCCTCAGACGGCACTGCATCAAGAATCATCACTTTCCTATGAGCAATATAACCACATGGGCTCAGGATTACTGTGGCACACCTATGTCAGACACTACAATATGTAGTTATATATAAATGCCTGTTAAAACTGTACTGTGCCAAAAGGAAGCCCTGTGTCAGCAGTTTCCAGAAGCGCAGTAGACTGCTCTGGGCTCAGAGGCATCTGGGATGGACCATCACACAGTGGAAATGTGTACTGTGTCAGACAAATCAGTATTTCAGGTCTTTTTTGGAAGGAATGGATGCCGTGTACTCCGGACCAAAGATGAAAAGGACCATCCAGACCACTGGTGGCCAATTCCAGTCCTCGAGGGCCACTGTCCTGCTTGTTTTCCAACTACCTGTGCCTGACCTGCTGTTGATTACCAGGCTCAGGTGTGTTCAGCCTGTCAGAAGCTGGAAGATACCAATTCACTTTATCTTTCCTCACTCCACTTTCATCTAAGATGGTATCTTAGTTGGAGTACAAGTTAGTTGGAAAACAAGCAGGACAGCGGCCCTCGAGGACTGGAATTGCCCACCCCTGATCCAGACTGTTACCAGCAACAGGTCCACTAGCCAGAGTCTGTCATGGTCTGGGGTTGTGTAAGTGACCTCAGCAAAGGTAACCTAATGTTATGGCGACGTTAATGGTAATAAATACATCGAGATTTTGGAACAACATATGCTGCCTACAAGACGACATCTTTTCCAGGGACATCTGTGCATATTTCAACAAGACAATCCAAAACCTCATACTGTGCACATTACCTAGGCATGGCTGCGGAGGTAAAGGGTGTGAGTGTTGGACTGGGCTGCCTGCAGTCCCAACCTGTCCCCAGCAGAGAATGTGTGGCGTATTTTGAAACGCAAATTGCATCAACGTAGACCCAAGACTATTGCACACCTTAAGACTTGTTTGCAGGAAGAATGGGACAAAATTACAACTGACACACTTAATTAATCACTTGGTGTCCTCAGTCCCTAAACGTCTTTTAAGTGTTGTGAAAAGGAACTGCAGCATCACACTGTGGTAAATGCTTTACTGTCCCAACTTTTTTGGAATGTGTTGCAGGCATCAGAAATGAAGTGAGGGTTTGTTTGGAGCAAATAATAAAGTTGATGAGGTGTTGCATCAAATAATGTGCTGCTGTACTGTTTCAATGTAATACAGGACACAGATGATTGACAAATCGCTATTTTCTGTTTTAATTTTGATTTTACATACGGTCCCAACTTTTTCTGACAGGGGGTTGTTTTCACTTAGTCGTCATGGCAGTTTTGATTAAGGGGTATAACACTTTTTTTTTTATCCAGAAAGAAAAACCTAATGTAGGTTTTTTTCCAGGAGCTTCTAGCTGGTCAGGTGGTTTATCTATCCAACTGCATTGCTGCAATGGATAATAAAAAATTATAGGGACAGTACTATAGAATCGTTGCTAGTAATGAAGCAGATGTGGTTGTGTGTGTGTCTACATATTAATGTGCACATTTGAATGTGACCATGTTCATGTTCACACATCTACTCTGTGTTCCCTTTAAATGCCATGATACTTTCTGTGCCAGGTGTTATCAGAGAGAGATGCACACCATTGGCATTAGACTCAGCCTGGCTGGCAGGAGGGAGAGCTCAGTATTTCCACACCACATTAAACACCCTTTTTCATACACTGCGGCTGCTGCCACACACAGGAAACCATAGGGGAACATTTTTTATAGACGCATCTGCTCTGTGCAGCCACTGAAGCAGACAATAATGTGTGCAATAGTTTGAATTGCAGAAAGACATTAGATTTTAGCGTGTAGGGTATTGTATGTTCTGGATTGGAGCTAAGGAGTTCATCCAAATGGAGATTCAGTAGTGGACACACACACTGAGACCTTTTAAAGATGTGTATACACTGTAATTCACCATTCTATTACTGCGGTTTTAAGAAGTATTTATGTATATATCAGAGTGATGTTCATATTATTTTCTGACCTTCTGCTATATGATACAGCATACGATTGCCTCTGGTCTATTTTTACTACCCTCCTTGTAGCAGGTAGAGAATATTTATGGATGCATTTCCATAGCATTAACTTTTGCAGCGGGCCCATGTTATTAAATACATTCATGTTATATGAATTCTTTGACCCTTTGTCAGTGATATCTCACCAGCAGAAATGGAAAAAGTGCACAGGAGTCAAGGTGAACATCATGCCTGAGGTTTGCTTAAACAGTCAAAAAACCTATACACATGCACTCTGGGCCTAGTTTTATAAATTATTAAATATGGGCAATGATTTGCATATCACTAGTCACCAGCAGTGTAAATGGTGCATTTATATATCATGTACATATATTACAC